AATTGCATTTCCTTTCAGTTCCCTACAGCCCTTTTGTTGTAGTGGAAAATGAAATGCATCTTTCCCTCTTACCAATCTCCTCCCTTGAAAACACGAGCGGTTGCTGCTGTTCATAGTGTGACCGCACAGCTGAAGGAAGGAAGGAAAGTGGCAATGGAGAGGACCTTTCCTTGAAGGAAGTTTGAGGTGCAGGACAGTGCCAGAGTTCCAGATTACTAGTGATGAGCTGCTGTTGTCTTTGGAAAATTAAGGTTAAGGATGTGTTTCCAATCTGGGTGGTTATTTATTGCATTGCTGAGAAGAAAATAAAAAAATACTTGTCAAAAGAAGTCTCTAAATACAGGAAAATTGGATTTTCACATAGCAAAAATTCTACATCCATGAAAAAATGAGCTAATAAATAATGTTGGCTGAAATGTGGAATTTGCATGAAAACGTAATGACTCATAAATGGACTGTCCTAAATTTGGGGAGAGTTTTCTGAAGACTTACCTGTGACGTACCACCAGATGCAGGTAAACAAATGGCAGAATGAACAACTGGAGAAGTGGATTCCAGAAATACCGGTTGTCCACAGGGTATGGCTTAATACAGGTGGATTAATTCATACAGAAAAAAACCCACAAAATATTATCAACAGAGGATGAAAGATTGGTGCTTCAGGAAAAGTAGTGATGGGAGCAGGCTGTCTAAGCTCTCGGCTAAAACTGCAAATACACGTGTCCCCTCCTTGAGAGGCAAGGCAGTCCAAACTGATGAAAATGGTGCAGATTAAAATTGTGTACTTGGTGATATTGCTGGTTGCGTTTTCGCTGAGTATTTTTTATTAACATCTTCTATTTGTTTGCATGCGATAGCTCCATATGGGGGATAGTCAGAAGTTGAACTTTGTTTTCCATGAGAGTGTCTTGGGGAGTGAATGTGGTAAGCTTATTGGCATTTGAATAGGGTTAACAAGTCTATTGCTTGTTTTATTAGAGAAGGTAGTCAAATCAAGAGCACTGATTTTTTTTTTTTTTTTTTTAAGGTTACCAAGGTTAAATAAAAAAAAAATCCCCAGGAAGAAGAAAGAATTAAAATCTTATTTCTATTTGAGAAGTAATTTACAGGAAATAATTCTTCACCAGTAATGGGAGAAAGCCAGGACTGAGTGAAAGAGCACAGACTGCATTGATCTGTATCAGAAGGAAGAGGGAAGAAACAGAAACAAACCTGCTGTTGCGTTTTCTGTTTGGATCGCTTTACAAACTGTGGGAGATAAAGCAAGTAGTTATTTTAAAGTAGTAAGCTTCAGTAATGTACGAGAATGAGACTCTAGGGTAAAAATGTCCTGAGCAATTAGTGAGCTAGGCCTGTTAGTGCTGATCCAGGTCGTGCAGTTCAATTCTGTTGAGAGGAGGGGAAAAAAAAGAAAAAAAAATAAAAAAAAGTCCCGATGCTGGAAGTACACTGGAGATGCAGAGCAGCTCAACACGTTAGCCTGTTAGTGCGGTGGAGCTCGGACAAGAGTCCTTCAGAAGGATCACTGGAAGGGGAAGGAGAGGTTTCTTTCTCGCAGAAGCTTGCCTACCTGTTGGTGGTCTCAGGTAATTTGCACTCTGGGGGGTTCCCAAGTGTGCAGGAGCTGAAAAGGGAGGGCAGCAATCAGGCTAACTTCAGTAGCAAGTGTGTTCCTCGCCATGAGGTGGCAGTCTGAAACAACGAAAAGTAAATGCTAGTTGGGATTTACGGAGCAGTGCTGGAAACTTAGCTGCAACTCTTCAGTGCAACTGGGGCTATTTTCAGCAGAGATTAGTGAAAGGATATATTTTAGCATTGACTGTTCTTCCTCCCCCATGTTGGGTTAGTGGGATGTGCCACATCCTCAGGCGCACCATCGGTTTACACATGCAACAGCAAAACCACCCACATCCTAAATTCTGTTAAAACTTTTATAGCCTCTGTTCTTGTCTGGTTTTAACACGTCTGCTGAAGGAATCGCACCCTGAAGACATTGAAAGGAAGAGGTATGTGATTTCCCAGTGTAGAAAGCTCCTCTGTCAGAGCTGGAATTATTGCCATGGTCAGGGATACAGGGAGCGATTTCCATTCCAGTTTATAAACTGTTTTTACCTGAGTCTAGGTATTGGCTAGAACTGACGTTTGGGAGGTGGTAGTAACGAGCAAGTTGGAAGAGGCTAAAAATCATAAAAGTGGGGCTTTGATGGAACTACCAGAACACTATGTTGCTGGTTTAAAACTAGTTTTACAATTTTTTTCTGTTTCATAGTATAAACATTTTCAAATGTTTGCATACAGAAGTCATCTGTCCCAGTCAGGTACTGCTGATCTGTGACTTTCTGCTCGCGGTGACAGGCGAACAGACTCCAGTCTTGGTGGAGGCTGATTATAGCCATTTGTTAAAAGGCATGTCCTCCTCAAATCTAGCGTAAGTGCAACTGATAATGCTGTTTACCTTTCTGGAGATGTAATTGCATAGGTATTTGTGGGATGTAATTGCTTACCTCGCCATGGTCGAGCCTGTCAGTAGCTAAGGAGTACTGTTAATGTTGTTGAACTTCCTGTTTTTTCCACTAATGGGATGCAATGACTTAACAGTGGTAAAAAGACACCCTTTTTCCCTTGATTCCACTGTGATTCCCATTGTCCTAGTGCCTATTTAAGTGTTTAAGCAATTCAGTCCTGTGTATTCAGTCCTATTCAGCGCTAACAGTAAACACGGATGAAGTATTTTGGTACCATTCAGCCAGAGATGATGCTTAGTGTGTTAGGTGTTCGTTTTAAATCCCCATCTCATTTTATTACACCTCTGCTGTAAAAGCAGCTACGGGCTACAGCTTTCACGGCTGGTTTTATGCGGCAGAGTAGTCAGTGCCATAACAAGCATTTTTTGGATTTGGTAGAAGATAGGTTTGATGAGAGATGTGAGGCATTTAGAACAATCCCCTTTCAACAACACTGTGTCTTGGGTCTTCAGGGATTATAACCCAGTGGCGCTGATACAGATAAAATGTTTTTCACTGAAGTCTGTAGACTTCCTATCCTTTCATTTGTGGTTTTCAGCGCATTGCCAGTGTAAATCAGTCTGTAGCTGTCAGTAATGCTTACCTAGTTGATGTTTCTCGTCATAGTTCCTGTTCTTAAAAGACTATTTCATGAAGCAGGAACTGTAGTGAGGCAGCCAAACCATTTAACGGGGGCAAACGTCATCCGTCTGCTAATGCCCTGGCACAAAGCTGTTGCCTTCTCTTGCTTCTGGGAGATGGTACTTCCAGGGATGTCCCAGTAAGGGTTTTATTCTTGAGATGCTTGGTTTTTAATAAGCTTCAGTTTTCTATGTAGTGTGTTTGCTGTAAAGATGCTTGCAAAAAGAGCAAACCCACATTAGTGCACAATTGTATTAAAGTATCAGAACCCCATAAATCCTTTTGGAAGTGCAAGGCTCAAAACTAAAAAAGCAGATTTTGCCTACTGTGGCTCACAGGAAGGAAAGCGGGAGATTAAAAACCTTTAGCTAACACAGAACAAAAATACAGAGTTTACAGATTCTTCACAGGTCAGGTACCATTGTACAGAAAATCAATACTGTACCAGGAATTTGGTGTCCCTTCCAGCTGTAACCTGTCACTAACTTGACCCTCAATCACTGTTCCTATGAGTATTTTCTGCTTGTGGGTACCCGCTCAGCAAACCATCACCATCCTCGAGATGCTTCCTTGAGACAAGAGTCACCTTTGGCATCAGAGATAGGGTGGAGGGGCAGCAGATAACAATAGGTGCAAATAACACAAAAGAAACTTCCAGCAACTCAACTCTTAGACAACGTTCCCATTTTCTTACTGCTTTCCAGAGAGATACAGGCTAATCCTGCTTCAGCGAGTGGCTCCTCTGCCCGGTTTGCCTGCAGGCAGGCTGCCTTCGGCCTCCTGGAAAGCCCACGGCACCGTCAGCGCCAAGACTCTCCAAAAGCTTCCCAGTGTGCCCTTGAATAATCCATTTGTTCCCCCTCAGGAGCAACGTGCATAGCGTGTGTTGGATTACTTGTGATCAGCTTTAATCAAGCTTTAAGATAAAGCGATAGTTGCTTAGAATTGTAGGCCTGAAAAACGGAACAAAGTTACAACCAAAGGCAGCTACAGCATCCATTGTTAGAAGCCTATTTACGGCTTCTCGGGGGCTGCTTGTGGCTTGGCTGAGTTGGCATCGCAAGCTGGCCCCACAGAAACCATCCCAGTGCAGATTTGGCCTGAAATCTCCATAAACTTGCACCTCTCCCAGCTCCACTTGGAAGCCCGACGGCTGGTGTTCCTCAGAGCTGCCACTCGGGCCAGGCCCGGCCTTCCCCCTCCTCCCCTGCCTGCCCAGGCGCTGAGACATCAACAAGTAAAACAGGGACACTTTGTGTTTTCCCTACTGACTATTGCTTTTCTGATCAATGCACATCATTTCTTAAAGAGATCACGCTCTTGACTTCAGCTTAGTTTGTCATTGGAAGCGGTTTGTGTACAGGTCTATAGCTTGGCTCGCTGAAAGAAAGGAGGCAAAAAAGGTCAGAAGATCTAACAGGAAAGCTACAAACATTCCTCTACATGGGCGTCAGGAGAGAGAGTTGTAAGCTCACGGTTCACAACAAACCCGTTTTAGAAAGATATCCCTCCATACAGTCCAAGCACACACCCGGCAGCACATACTCCTGTCAGAGACAGCGACAGCGTGTCTGACACGGCAAAATGGCCGGCCCGGCTGGCACTTGCAGTGATGGGACATGCGTTGTAATGAAGACTGGTGCTCATTTTCTATGAGTTTATTCGTGTGAGTAAAAGCTTTAATGTGTTTTTTTCACAGATAGCCATAAGGGAGTCGGACTAGATGTTCTCCGGAGGTCCCTTCCAACCCTGACCATTCTTTGATTCTGTGAAGGGCTCTGCAACAGTGTTTGGCGCTGGTTCAGCTGCTGCCGGAGTACTGCAGCCACCATCCCCAGGGAGCAGTGCTGCGCTATGAAGGACTCGGAGAAGAGCTATGAGAGTATCCGAAAGACTGAAACACACCTGATGGTGAGAGAGCCTCAGAGCTGTTTCATTCCACGTGCTACGGAGACCTGAGCACATCTCCAAGTGCCTACAAGGAGAGCAATGGCAGGACAACAAAAGGCCCTTCAAGCTACCAGAAAAATATATAATTTACCAGGTACGATCATTTATGCTTAGAATTACCAAGTCTGTTGGACTGTGGTTCCTAGAAATGTTTAAATCAGGATGGGATGTTCTTCCAAAGGAGCCATGGATTAGGTTAAAGAAGATTCACGGGCAGTCCGGTGGCATGCACAGTGCAGCAGATCCTGGTGCCCAGTGACAGGACCAGGGGCACAAACTGGAACACAGGAGGTTCCTTCTGGTCAGGAAACACTTTTTCACTGTTGAGGGTGACTGAGCACTGGCACGGGGTGTCCAGGGAGGTTGTGGAGTCTCCATCCTTGGAGATCTACACGATCCTAGGCAACCTGCCCTGAGGGTTGGACCAGATGACCTCCAGAGGTCCACCTTCCAACCTCAATCATTCTGTGGTCTCTCCTGGCTGCAGGATCTACTGACAGAACTCAGAGTAGGTGTCCTGGTTTGAGGTAAAACAGAACCAATTTTGCCCAGTAACTTTGCTTCTTAGCTAGGCCTCTTCTAACTACTGAAATTAACAGCATATTGTGCAGACACTGTTCACTCTCAGAGCATCTGTCAGTCCCATCTGGGGTGCCTCACATCCCCAGTGGTCAATTCGGCTTAAACCACAACAGTAGGTCGTCATTCCCTACTCAGTTTCTTTAATTTCTTATTTTGCTTGCACTTGTGAAATCAGCATCAGTACCGATTCCCAGCATACTATCATGAGTAACAGAGAGCAGGATTTCATTCAGAATAAGTTCCAGTCCAGCTGCTGATTACCTTTCAGAAATCACTATTCCAGTCACATGCTGCTAGTGGTTAAAGCTTGAACACATTCTGAATAACTGTTGGTGAATCCAGGGCACTTTACAGACAAGTTAATATTATCTAATTACAATTAGCCCACATGCACCTGGTGCTGAGCTTTAGCAATCAAAACTATGGTCTCATTTTCTGTAAACATTCCTTATATAGCTAATGCAGTATGAAATTATTTTGTGCAACAAAAAAATCATGTGTCAGCTATGCTAGAAAAGCAGAAGAAAATTATACCAGGGTGTTGCCTACACTGATATTGTACATGGATTTTGTTTGCCACATATAACCAATTTCATAGAAAATTAATGTATACGTCTGAAAAATAAACTAGATCTTACACTGGGTAAAGACTGAGGTTAAAAATTAGTTACTTTGAAAACAACACTATCAACATTAGCTTCTTCAGCACATTTCTGAGTTAAATACTCAGAAATCTGAGGTCTTAAGATCTTTTAATGGGTTCACTTTGTGTTTTTGTAAGGTTGATCTTGGCTACAAACCCTCTCATAACAAACCTGGTTAAAAGTTAAATATGGTTTGAGGCCAGCACAGAATATAAATGTACGTTTACTGATACCAATCCTAATTTTGTCTCATTTCAGAAAGTTCTTCAGAGCTTAAGGATTCCCCATGTTTAAAATGCCATTTTGCTTAACACTGGGGGAGGAAGGCGGTCCTGGTCCGAGGTAAGGGGGAGTGGAGTCGTGCGGAGGCAGAGGGACAGGAGCAGCTATTTGTCAAAGGAACAAACCCATGTCCCTGGAGAAGGGATTTTACTGTGTTTGAATTCACTAAGAAGTGAAGCCAGGAGCAGCTTTCAAAATCAAAAGCCAATCCCTTGGCCTTGAGCTGTAGCTGCTCGTGGATACAAGATATGACTTCTAAGGAGGGACAAACCTTGCTGGATTACAGCTCACTGTTAACTCCAGGGCTCACCCTTCAAATCAAATCACTCAAATCAAACAGCATCATTTTGGAATGTCCCTGCTTAGAGATACTGAGGAACCACAGTTACCTTCGAAGAGTGTGCACACAGACTGGCTTCCAGGGGTTCTTTAGAATCCATTTCCCTCGCAGCCTATGGCCCTCCCTCCAAACCATGGAGGTTGCTACATCCAGTTATGTTGTTTACAAACAAACAAAATGGGCAACTGTCACCCTGTCTCCACTGTTTAATATTGTGACTGATCTATGCAGAACATGCAGCTTGCATAAAATAAAGGACTGGAATGAAGTAAATGAGAGCTATGAATGGGAGCCAGGATCTTTAGAGCTTCAGTTGAGGGCATCAGGAGATTTCCCTTTATAGCGCTGGATTAGTCCCTCACCCCTGCTACATTTCCTCTTTCAGTTAAGTGAATGCGGTGACATTGCTCACATGAGAAAAATAATTGATGTTAAACCTGGAAAATGGTGTTGAAAAAAGTGCTCCAAGTTTCAAGCACTAAAGATCTTACTGATTTTACTGTGTGAGTACACTGTAACAAAATCAGTTTTGATTTGCAAGAGTGAATTATACTATAAAAATAGAATAGCAGTGAGATAGAAAATACTTTAACTGCAGCCACCCTCCCGCAAACACCAAACCCTTTTCTGGCCTTGGCAGCTGTCATCCCTCTGCCTCTCAGTGCACAATCACCACATAAGCAATGGAGAAACCTCATCATTTTGAACTTCAAAAATGAAAGCCATCCTTATTTACAGTTACACCCAGTGA